ATTAATTAAGAGAAAATAAGGATTAAGAAAAGAAGGCAGTGTATGGGTAATTGGATGACCGGGTAAAGTTAAATCGAAAAGTACCAAGGTTTGAAAAAACAGAATCAACACGCAATTAAAAAACGTTTAAAAGAAATATATAAAAACAAGTGGGCAAAGGTGTAGTTGGAAATAAAGAAAGGGATAATTAAAAGGCTTAACTAAGTCCAAAGAAGAGCTGCAAGTTGAGGATCCACTTGCGAGTCCGGCGTAAGCTGTTTGTGTTCAACATCATCACCCCCAACCCCCAATCCCATTCCTCTCTCTCTCATCTTTCTCTCTCTCTCCGAGGAAACAGCAAAACTAATACAAGTGGACCTCATCACACCAGCTTAAATATTCTATCTCTCTCTCTCTCTCTCTCTCTCTCTCTCTCTCTCTCTATGTCCATGGCTATGATATATATGATGATGTTATGAAGGCCAGCCCTAAACCTTGTTGTCTACATTCAGAGATAGAGAAAGAGAGATCACCAAAGCAAATGCCTTCCTCACTGCAATTCCAAAGACCCATCAATAACTCTCCTAATTTTTATCCCACAAACACATTAATCCAACACAAGCAATTCCAATCCCACGCCGCGGCCGCAGCTGCAGCGGAGGACTTCACGCGCCTCCACGCTCACGTGATGTCCCCCAACCCCAACCAGTGCTGCTCAGCGGTTGTGCAGTCCATCGAGGCCCCCGTCCCGACCGTGTGGTCGGTGGTGCGGCGCTTCGACAACCCACAGGCCTACAAGCACTTCCTCAAGAGCTGCCAGGTCATCGACGGGACGGGCGACGTGGGCACACTCCGTGAGGTCCACGTGGTGTCGGGCCTCCCCGCGGGGTCCAGCACGGAGCGCCTCGAGATCCTCGACGACGAGCGGCACGTCCTGAGCTTCAGTGTCGTGGGTGGGGACCACCGGCTCGAGAACTACCGATCTGTCACCACGCTCCACGACTCGCCGAGTGGACTCGGGACCGTCGTCGTGGAGTCATACGTGGTGGACGTGCCGCCGGGAAACACCAAGGAGGAGACGTGCGTGTTCGTCGACACCATCGTGCGCTGCAACTTGCAGTCGCTGGCTCAGATCGCGGAGAGCATGGCCAAACCATCCACCAAGAGTAACAACAACAAACCCTCATGAAATATTATTATTTCATAATCAAAATGAGTTCATGATTCTTTCTTTCATTTTTCGTTTTCTTTCTTTTTGTGGAGACTGTTTGTAGATTCGATAGGTTTTCTGAGGCTCTATCTCAGCAGCTGGTTGAAATGGTCAAAGGTTGTCCGTACGTATGATATTGTGTATAATTAAAACCCCGTGTTTCCTTTACCATGTATCCCATCCCTTCTGAAGATTGTCGCTCTCTCTCTCTCTCTCTCTCTCGCGAGATATATATATATATATACAAATTATGTTTAATTTCATGATTTGTTTGTTCATCTTATTAATTTCTCTCTTGCTCAATTGTTAATTTCTTCGACGTTAATGTGGAATTTGTGTGCAAACCTTGATTGCATGATCAGGTTCTTTCTTCAGCTTCTCTCAAATTAATGGAAACAACTGGCTAATCCCGGATATAATTAAGCCCTAATTAAATTAATCAGCTAATAATATGCATGGTTTGTGAGCTGCATGATCTTATCTATATGCATAATGCATGTAACAAATTTCACTTGTGATTCTTTCTTGCCGTACGTTTAGTATATTAATGATATATAGGCACTAATTATCAATGTACTTTAATATAATTTAAAGAAAGTTGGCTAAGAAATCGAGTTAATGTATTTTTTTTTTCTTTTTTTCTCATTGTCAATGCCAATGAGATAGATCAAAAACTGCTGTAAAGTGTTAAGATTCGCAACCTTGCGCTTACACCGATGTGCTACCACGCGTGAATGAATTAATGTAGCTTCAAATCATGTATGGGCGGCCATGGCTACATTGGCCCAGTTGATATTGAATATAAAAAACAAAAACAAAAACATTTTTACAGTTTTATTTTATTGATTCAAATTAATTAAATAGACAGAGTCTCTTGCTCCCCTCCTGCTTCGCCTTTCACTTCTAATGGGCAGTTTTTTCATAAATACTGTGAAGATGTTATGGAGGTTCGAACTTGAGATCACTGATTTATAAGTTAAGGTCACTTTTCATTAGGCTAGATCGTATTAATACTTACCATGAATGTGATTTAGTACGAGGAAGCGTTACTTAAAAAATTGATACTAAAAAACAAGATAATTAAGTGATAGATATGGCATGTATAATACACGCATTGCCGACCTAAAAAAATAGACATCCATCAATTATCAAATGAGATGATCAGAGCTACAGTAGGCTATATATATCGTTAGATTATGATAAATATTATTTTGTGTCCTTTGTATTTGCTTGAGGTGTCTTGTTTTAGCCTGGGGATACAGTTGGCATTTCTTGTCTACCGCAGTTTTTTCTTCGAAAGTTCAAAAAAGAAATAAAAAAGAATTATAAAAAAGCAGCCTTTGGAATTATTATTATTTTTGCATAGAAGAGAATGCACGGAGGAGGAGGTATTATATTGGTCATTGGCGAAGTTGAAGAATCAATCAACAGCTGCGTTTGCAACTTGACTTTAAAACGAGGCAACTTGGTTGGAGAAAGAAACCAAATGCAAGTTGCAAATTACCAAACAAAATCAAGGAGAAACTTAAAAAAGTTTAATGCAAGTTGCAAGGTTTTGCCTGCTATCATTATAATATTAATATATATATATATATATATATTTATGTTGTGTGTTGGAAGGGACGATAGTCTTTTTAGGATTTGCAAGTTGCTTAGGCAAGTGGGCAAGGAAGGCAATTTAATGTTCCCCTCTTGTTTACAAGAGAATGAAATCAAAGCCACCCATTTTGCATCACCAGTGTGTATGTGGCTCTGTGTGTGCCCATGACTGATTTGACTAGACCAACCCAAACCTAATTCTTCGCATAAATTTTCTTGAAACCAACGTCTGAATTTAAGGTCCAAAGGGCACCATTAATTAATTTCCTCTGGATTATTATGGATTGACCATAGACTAACGATTTCTAGCTAGTCATGGTACTTCCAATTGGCATGCTCATTAGTTCTTAAGAGCATTCGCAATGGTTGTTCAGTTTTACTTGCAATGGTACAATTCAATAGCTTCAGTTTATTAGCATTGTGGGTCACATAATTAGTTTATTGCAATTCAATAGAAGATTCATCACATAGCACCCTCTATTGCAAATGAAATTTTACTGTTTTAGTTCAATTTATCATAATCATCGCAGATGCTCTAATTTGTAGTGCTAAGTTACGGACCATCAAATTATTTGTTCTAGAAGAGCTTATGTGTTGTTTGCTTTTGTCAATTATGATGTGTGACTTAGACTTGTTAACAAATGTTTTCCAACACACTCATCAATCAAGGTCAAAAATCGAAGGAGCCTCTCACCTTTGTGATTATGACAAATATTCAACTCATACTTGCATTTCATTCCCTTGAATAAAAAGAAGGAACCTCTCACGTCGTTAGGTTTAGAAAAGTTATCTCGGCAATATAGAATTGTTGATGGTTTGAAAATCAATTATGTGTGAATATATAATTGGATTTTTTTTAATGTTCCTTAATTTTGGAGTCTTTGCTACTAATTATACAAGACTGTTCTTAGTGTTTGTAGACTTCGTCACCACGCAAAGCCTTTGGGCCCCAAGTCTTTATGTTGTGAGCACTTTAGGGCTTCTAATGAAGTATGACCTATAATAATCGAAGCTCATTCCAAGTGTCTTGAAGGCCAGACAAGGCAAACACCAATATACACGATGTAATGGGAATGGGATTGAGAATTGGATGATGCTGAGCAATGTCTCCTGGTTCACCTCCCCAGTTGAAGTACAATGTCTCATTTTATGCATGTGTGATATACAAATGGTGGCTACTCACTTTTCCATGAAGACCCTCGTCTTCTCATCGCCATGCGACAAGCCTCCATGGTGGCCACCTCCACCACATTTTTCACCTTATCATAATTTGACCCTAGCCTACATATGAAATCTTATGCAATGAAATGTGCCTCCGGCTGTGAAAACAGTTCATTAGAAAACAAACATTTGTTTCTAGTTACCAACCAAAAACAAGAGCATTTGTGGGTAGTTTGGAGGATCTTTGTTGGGCACACAGGCCCACAAACATTTGTGGGTAGTTTGAAGGATCTTTGTAGGGCATATAGGCTCACAAACATTAGGGGGTAGTTTTTTGGGTTTTGGGTCGTTCGGCCCATAATGATTTGTAGTGATTTGTAGATATGACTTATTTTAGTTTTAATTTGTCACTTTAAAGAAATTTTTTAAGAGAACTTGCCAACTAAATGTTTCAAAATCCATGATTTGTCATATTATTTTAACACTATCCAATTTTCCAATATTAAGCGTATTTTAGAAATGGAAAAATCATTATAAAAAAAAATTTATACATGCTCAGAGAGAGAGAGAATAGGGGGAAGGGGGAAGGGGTCCTTTGCGACATGTTTTGGGAAAGGGAGAGGTTTCTTTTTTATTTTATTTTTTTTTAATCCTTGAAAATGGAAAGACTAGCATTTCTACAATTACCCCAAAAAGAAACTTAGTTTTCAGCGATACATGATAATGCGTAGGGGTTAACCAGACGAAAAAAGATTGTCTGAAACATTGCCAAATCATTCTGTACCATTGCACATTCAATCACTTCAAGAATTTCCCTTCACAAACCTCAAATTTAATAACAAAATTTTCATTTTGATATTTCAACTTCAAAAAGACGAAATC